GTATTTCCTCAGCGATCAGCACGGATCAGCTCCAGGCATGACGAAGCGAATATCGTCCTCTTTTGGAAGACCAAACAAAGTAGTTTCGCTTTCAAAACGAAACACAGTGCCTTCACGACATGGCGGCAGCGGCAACAACAATACTACAGCGAGAATAAAAGTTACGCCTTCTTTCTTTGCGTGAACATTTGGGCGGCGTTATGCAAATCTTCCCACATAGTGATGTAGACATGTGGGGGCGTGTTAGAACGAGGTGTTTTAGGTAGGCGTGGCTGACTCTTAACTTTTATAAAGAATATCTCTTTGGATTTGAGACTTTAGTCTTTGCAACTTTACAGATCTTCTTTATGCACCAAGAGCTTGTAACACTCCAAAGAGAAAGGAACAATTGAAATCGCATCATATGACCCCTTTAAAACCTTGTAATGCTTCTATACAGTATTCATTGTTACACCTTTACTGTAGAAAGTATAATGCATTGAAACATTTGACCAATTTCTAATGTAATAAGGAATCTACAAATATTATAATGCATCTTAACTTTGATCAAAACAGTTTATGACAAGATATAATTCATTAAAATATACATTATGAATACTTTTATAATGCATTATGCATAAAGGCTTTTAAGTATTACCAAATTTTCGTCATAATAATAGTGCAAATCCCCATTATAAAAGTGCATTTTATATGCTATTATACTAGTTCCATTTCGCAGAGAGTATGCAAATAGACAATTTGTCCTTCTGCCCAGATCAATAACTTTAGAAAAATGCTGTTTATTAAATTTCAAGTTTTAAAGATGAAGTGTGTAATTTCTGTGGTAGTAGTGTCACCAAACGGAACTGCTAAAAATAACACTCAAACAGCTTTACAGTGACCACAGTGTCAGTGTTTCATTTTTATAAGGTAATAAACCTGCAAATGGTTGACTTACAGTGACTCTGCACATTACAGTGGCATATAATGATTCTTGATATGGGAAACTGTTCTTACCAATGAAAAAAAATCACTTCACCTTTAAAATAATGTTTCCATATAGATACAGATACAGATACAGATAAATATTAAAGCAAGCTGAGTATAAACCTGATTTTGAAAACATTGGGATTGTGTCTTGAAAATAAATTATTATTTGGGCATATACAAAGGACTGCTCTTTATTTCTAAAGAGAGCACCTGTAACATTTGTAAATGTGCATGTGATCTGTGCCATTGCGTCCCTGAGAAGAAGGAACAATGTGCAGAACTTCCTCACTTATACTGGCAACTGACGAAACCACTTTCTTCTTTGTGGCTGCACTGATCCACACAGCAACCAGTAAGATGTGACTAATGAAAAAAACATCAAACAAACAGCATTAAACAGAAACTGAACAATTTATATTAGTCAGTGGACTGCCAGGTGCCGATCAAAAGCAGCATTTAGAGCTGTTAGTGTTAAAATAATCTTCAACTGTTAAACCAAAACTTCCTGTTTCCTAAATGCAACTGTGTGCGCATTACCAGACACGGCTTATTTTGGATCTACGCATTGCATAGCTTGCACCGGGACATTACATAGACACTGCTACCATGGTAAGGAAGTGCACATTAATGAGCTATTATTTCTCTTTCCTATGGTTATTCATTGTGTATGATTATATAATTGATTTTTAAAGAGATGAGCTTGGTTGCAAGTTTATGGCTTTTAGTATTTTGCATATGCCGTTCATGGTTACAAAGACAAATGCATGTCATGCACATAAAAATGCACTGCTTTAATAATTTTGGTATAGTTCACCAAAATTATTATACATTTTTTTTGATTTGCAATAAAAATTGCTCAGTTTCACTTAAAACTAGACGCCTTACTCTTAGACTTTTGCATATGCTGTTCATGGTTACAAAGACAATTGCATGTCATCCACAAAAGAATGCATTATTTTAACAAGCTAAACAATATTTTGTCACAATTTGTCTTATTGCTCAGTGCCGTATAACAGCTCTGTGTTTCATATCCAACAGGTGATAAAATTAGACCTCTGGCTCATTATGACATTGAAGATCACACTAACCCTTTGTCAAATGGACACGGCAAATCCGAAGAACCAACCCTGTGATATATATGACAATGTAACCGCAATGACAGTTGTGGTTGACTGCCATGAACGTGGACTCCAACTGGTGCCAAAGTTCTTACCAAACACAACCTCCCTTGATCTGTCCGAGAACAAGATCAAGAACATAACAGCAGAACAATTCCAAGACCTGGCAAATCTGACCAATCTAAATCTGAACTGGTTGAATAATAATCATGAGGTTCTTGTTGGCGCCGGGGTGTTTGCGAATATGACCAAGCTACGTACACTGGAGCTCAACGGGGTCCGACTAAAGGACGTACCAAAAGATATTCCAAAGAATCTGCAAGAACTAAAGCTGGTTGAGAACAAGATCACCCGGTTAAACTCAACATCCTTTAGGCATGTGCAAAATCTGTCACTCATTTACCTTTCGAGAAACTGCTACTACTGGAATCCTTGCTCGAGTTATCACATAGAAGATGGAAGTTTTTCTGTCCTGACCAAGTTGAAACACCTTACTTTGTCTTTTAACAATTTAACTCAAGTCCCCAAAGGATTACCTGTCTCATTGATGAAACTTGAGCTTGCTTCAAACAGAATATCGTACGTCGGAGAGCATGATTTCCGAGGACTCGACAATCTGATAAGTCTAAATATCCAAGGGAACTGTCCGCGGTGTCATAATGCTCCATATCCATGCATTCCGTGTAAAAATGTTTCCATTGAAATTCATCCACGAGCCTTTGCCGGCCTCGGAAACCTGCGGATTCTGAACCTTGCTGGAAATTCGATCGAGAAAATCGATCCTACTTGGTTCGCAAACATCTCAAAGCTTGAGGAACTCTACCTGTCGTTTAATTTCTTGTTCAATGCTGTTCAAAATAATGTTTTCTTGAATAATCTGCCACTGCTGACAAAACTCGATCTCTCGTTTAACTACGCTCTCAAGGCTTACCCCCCCACAGTTAAAATATCGCCCAGCTTTGCAAACTTGACCTCGCTGAGGACGCTGCACCTTCGTGGATTGGTTTTTCAAGAAATCCAAGAAGACACCTTCAGCTCTCTGTTTGGTTTACAAAATCTGTCGGTGTTGGATGTAGGAATAAACTTTATTGTCCGTGCAAAAGCGGAAATATTTGAAAAATTTCAACATGTGAAACTAATCTATCTTTCGGAAAACAGACTTTATCCGGAGTTGCGTAAAGATGCAGGCGTTGGTTTAAAATCTTCATCCATGATGCCCTCCATGTCAGAACCTTATCCTAAAGGCAATTCTTTCGTCATTCCAAAAGATCTTGTAAAACCAGAGTGCTCCGCCGCCGGTCGCGTGTTGGATCTCAGCCGAAATAACCTGTTCTTAATTACTCCTGAACAGTTTCAGCCATACGGGAACATATCTTGCCTAAATCTCTCAGGAAATGGCTTCGCCACGGCTCCGAATGGATCTGAATTCACATCGCTCCCAGACCTCAAATATCTGGACTTGTCCTCCAACAGAATTGACCTGGCATACGATTACGCTTTCCGAGAGTTACAGAGTCTTGAGGTGCTAGATCTTAGTGACAACCCTCATTACTTCACTGTGGAAGGTGTGACCCTCAATTTGAACTTTCTCAAACATTTGCCCTCTTTGAAAGTATTAAATATGAGCTCCAATAGCATCCGTACGTTAACCACCAAAACCATGTCAAGCAAGTCTCTTCAAGAGCTGCAATTCCAGCACAATAGCCTCGGCAGGATGTGGAGGCTGAAAGACAGAACCTACGATAGGCTGTTCGAAGACTTGACCAATCTGACCTATCTTGACATATCCTATAACTACATTGAGAAGATCCCTTTCAGGATTCATAAAAATCTTCCCAAAAGCATTCAAAGATTGTGTTTAAGCCACAATCACCTGACAAACGTTAGTTGGGAAATGTTGAGACAATTCCCTCATCTCCGAGAGCTCATTTTAAGTTACAACAACATCCTTAAAATATCTAGTAACTTGTCGAGCGATGTTCCTTCTTTAGAGTTCCTTGATCTGCGGCACAACCAAATATCCCAGCTTTCCAGTGGATTCCTCCAGGGAGCGGTAAACCTAGAGAGGCTTGATCTCAGTCGCAACCACCTCATAACCATCAACCAGTCCACGTTTCCATCTGAAACCGAGATTTACCTAAAGATGCTGTGGCTCAGCGGCAACCCTTTCCACTGCACATGCAACCTGCTTGAATTCGTTCTGTGGATTCGCAAGACTGACGTGAAGATCCCCAGATTGGTGACTGCAGTGACGTGTGCCATGCCTGAAGAGAGGAAAGGTGAAGCAGTGATAGAATTTAAAATTACAGAATGCATTGATGACCAGTTGGCATTTCTGGCGTACTTCTTCTCCACTTTTTGCATTATATGCACCACTTTCGTGGCCATCGCAATGCACCTTTTCTACTGGGACGTTTCCTACTTATTCTACTATGTGAAAGCCAGATTTACTGGGTATCAGCAACTGAGCTCTGACAGCTGCATCTACGACGCCTTCATCACCTACGACACCAAGGACACACAGGTGGAGTCACCTTTATTTATTTTGCATTTACACAATACAGATAGTATCAGAGCACAGTAATAAACAAGAAAACTACAGAATCAATGATGCAAATTTCATTAAATATGAGACGTATTTTAATTTAGCTGTAAACCCAACTAACATTAAATGTTCTCAAAACATTCTGGCAAGGTTATAAGCAAACATTCTTCCAGTAACATTGATAGAATGTTCATTCAAAGTCATCTGGTCTTTAATAATGTTCTCAAAACGTTAGTACAAAAATGTTATTTATACATTGTTCATGGAATGTTTTTCCTGAAACGTTTGTCTAACATATTTGAAATGTTATTATTGTTTCAGAACGACCAGAAGACATTCAAAAGTAATGTTCCCATAATATTTGCGAAATGATAAAATGAAATGTTCCCTTATCGTTAACATAACCCCCCAAAAAAAAGGCATGTTAAGAAAGAAAGAAAGAAAACTGGGTATTTTTAATGTTTAGAGAACATTCAGATATAACATTTTCATAACTTAATGGTAACAGTAGCAAAATGTTAGAATATAGGAAAAATGTTTGTTAGTTGGGAATCTGCTCTAAAAAGACAATAACAGGAAATATTCTCCGAATGCTCTGGTAAGGCTCTCTCAAATTTATGAACAAATGTTCTCCCAGTAATGTTAACATAATGTTCGTTCACAGTTATCTGGTCATTAATAATGTTTTCAAAACCTTAGCACAAAAACATTGTTTATATTGTACATTGTTAATGGAACTTTTTTTGAAACGTTTTAGTTGGATGTTTTGTCGTTTTTTTTTTTTTGCTTTACTAACTACTTTTCAAAATGTTCAACATTTCAAAAAGTAACATTCTCATAATGTTTGTAAAGTAATACAATGGAATGTTTCTTTAATGTTCACATAACTCCAAAAAAACTAAAACTAGATGTTTTGAACGTTCAGAGCACATCCAGGAATAAGGTTTTCATAACTTTCTTGGATGCAAAACGTTCTTAAAACATATTTTTAGGGAAAAGCTCTAGAAAGACAATCCCAGCTAACAAGAAATGTTCTTAGAATGTTCTGGCAAGGTTCTCTCAACGTTATGAACAAAATTTCTTCCAGTAATGTTAATATAACATTTGTTCACAGTTATTTTATTTATTTATTTATTTTTTACGTATAAGTTGGACATTCATCTAATGATTTTTAAATGCTACTAACATTGAAAAGTTGCTAATTTAATAATGTTAGCAAAAACCAATAATTTTTTTTTAACATTTAAACTCTGGACACTTTGTCACAACATTCAGAAATAATATTTTCATAATGGTAATGTTATTGAAACATTCCTTATTATAGTTCTTAAAAAGGTTCATTCACGGTTATCTGGTCTTTAATAACGTTCTCAAATTATTCATGAGTCTTTTTTTCGTGGAATGTTTTAGTTGGTTGTTCATCTAATGTTTTTTGTTTTTTTAAACTTTACTATTTACTACTTTTCAAAATGAATGACATTCAAAAAGTAGCGTTCCAATATTGTTTTTTAAAATTATACAGTGGAACATTCCCTTAATGTTTTTGCTAACCTTTGCACAAACAAGAAAAACGTTTTTGAAATCATTCAAAAAATGTCTGAGAGCATTCAGAAATAACGTTCTTATAGAAATGTTATCAAAATGTTTTTAGAACATATGTTGTTAGCTGGGTGTCATTATTCAGCTCAGTGTTGATTCAGGTCAGTTCAATAAGTATGTCAAGTTCATCAATCATGAAACGAGTCCAGTCCAACTATGAGCATCTCTACAGAAGACAACAGTGTCGTTATTCAGCCAGATTCAGTTCAGTGTTGATTCAGTTCAGTTCAATAAGTGTGGATGTTGCAGGTGTCTGACTGGGTGCTCAATCACCTGCGAGTGCAGCTGGAGGAACAAGGCGAGCGATTCCTGCCCATTTGCCTGGAGGAACGGGACTGGATTCCCGGTTCTCCGGTTCTGGACAGTCTGACGCAGAGCATCCAGCACAGCCGCAAAACCGTCTTCGTCCTGACCGAGCGCTACGTGAACAGCGGCTCCTTTAAGCTGGCCATCTTCCTGGCGCACCAGAGGCTTCTGGAGGATAACGAGGATGTGATCGTGCTGCTGCTGCTGGAGCCCGTGTTGCAGCACTCACACTTTCTGCGGCTGCGCAGACGGCTCTGCGGGCGCAGCATTCTCGAGTGGCCGCATTCACTGTCCGCCGAAGCCTGGTTCTGGCAGTCGCTGCGGAACGCCATACGAGTCGACAACCAGGCCATTTACAGCGACCTCTACAGCAGATATTTCACCACTAAGTAGGAGGAGCGATGCATAAAACTGGGTTGAGCTAGAAACTAAATTAATACCATGTTAGTTACAGAAACAGAGCCCTGTGGCAATTTGTGTATTGCATAGATTCAATTCACGCAGTAGCATGAATCTCGAGATTTCTAGAGTTCTGTAGCCTATAAAGTGAAAACAAAGAACAAAAGTAAACAAACGTGCACCAGAAAAGTTTTTTGTGTGCACTTTTAATCTAAAACAATACTAATAAATTGTTTTCCAAAATCCATGGTTGCTTAAGTTATAGGAAAAATAAAGTACAATTCACAGACTGGGAGCTAAAAAGTAATATTCAGAGAGAAAAAAATATTTGAAGAGGTTTTTGAAAGAAAATCTCACTTGTAAAATTTTAATGCAATCTGTTGATTTAACATTCAATCCAAACTTTTTCAATCCAACCTTAAACACATAGGAAGATGTGAAGGAGCATTTAACAAGGAGCATCTATTTTCCTAATTTTCTTGTTAGTCTTTTATTTTTTTTTACTGTAAAATTTAGAAATGTCAAATGGAAAGGAGCTGGACTCGCATGATCAATCCTTCAGTTGGTCATTCATTTTAATTAGTTGTATTTTTTTAACTTATATTTTTATATATGGATACTTTTTTGTTAATCTAAAACACAAACTAGCCTGTAAAATATTGTGAAATCAAATTATTAAAACAAAAGTCCGATACAAACTTCATCATTTCCCTTTGCACAAACAAGCAAGAGCAACAAGCAGCACCCGTTTTCATATTTTTCATCATAAAATAATGAAAAAGCGCAGGAAATGTTCATGTTAGTTATTTTTTTATTGTAAAATGGATCGCTGGGCTGTACTATCACGACTACAAGATTAATCCTTTACTCTCACTAATGTTTTAATTAGTTTGTTGTATTTTGACTTTCTGACAACGAGCATCTGTTTCATATTTTTCTTCAAAAAATGATGAAAAAAGGCTGGAAATTTCCAGTCATTTGTGTTTTTATAGCAAAATGTATGCATTTGAAATTGAAAGTGAAAAGGAGCAGTACTAGTACAAGATGAATCCTTCACTCGGCACTGATATTTTAATTAGTCTGTTGTATTTTAATTTACAGCCTACTTGTTTTCATTTTTAAGGTAGAATATCATCCTGAAAAATGTAAATTCTAACTATTAAAAGGAATAATTTAAAAATCCAATTCAAACTTCATTGTTTCTCTTTGCAAACACGCACACAATAAAAGAAATGCAAAGAAAGATTTAACAAGGAGCATCTGTTTCCTATTTTCATCATAACATGATGAAAAAGCACAGCACATTTTGCAAGGAACTGCTCAAATGTCTCTAAATAGTCTGCTAGCAGCTAACAGGAACTGATCACACACACTTCCTGTTAGGGTCTAGATCTGGGCTACGTTCAGCCCCGACAAAAACGGTGCAAAACGTGTTTTAAATGGAAACGGTGGTGCATTGAACACTGTTCTGATGACGCAAGAGTTGCAGCTATGGCAGCTGAGAAGGCCATTCTGTGTGTTCTTTCTGAAGAATTTTCGGAGCCTGATGAAATCGGTATAAACACGTGTTTAATACTGCAAAATACGCTCGATGTTACAGTCACTGCCCTTGCCGTCCAGAATAAAAGAATATCCCAATCAAATGAAGGGATTTGTGGAAACTGTGGTTCCTAATTATTGTGATCAACATTTGCCTCACATTTCAGGATGAAAAGACAAACATTTCAGGTGAAGGATAATCCACTTCTTACCTCCAAGACTATGTTATGATCTATATGACCTTATCATTTTTATTGTGAGTATTAGGCTTATCATTACTGCTGATCGCTGTAGTTGTGCTATGATATTGTAATATTTACCATTATATAATCGGAGGAGTATAGAAAAGTTTATGAAAGTGTCACTCCATAATACAATAGCAAAATATGTAAATATGTATAGTATTTTTATGTTACATTAATCAGTATTTAGCACACCTTCCTAAGGAAAGGATATGGACCAGAAGACATTGCAATTACTAAATGATATTTAGACAGACTTAAAGAAGTTCCAGATCTATACTTGTGCGCTTATTATTTCAGTCATTTTGCCTTTAATGTAAATAAACATGTGCAAACAATATACTTGCTCTTGTGAATTTATTTTGATGTTAATTACATTGTGTGAGCTGTCTCTTTAATACCGCGTGGTTTATATACATGTTGCTGATTGGGCTGACATGTTTGACACACCCACCAAACAAGAGAAAACGCATCTCAAACCCCGTTGCACACCGTTTCCAGGAAACATGTCGTTCAACCCAGAAACCGTAGCAAAACGGTGCACACCGGTTTGAGCTTGAACTTGCCCCAGCTTTCCTCCCATGACAGCTAAAATACGGTTTCTTTTATGCATGTCAGGTGCATGGGCCTACTTAACACAAAACAATATGCTTCATTCATTCATTTAGAGCCTCAAGAGTGTTTAGCGTTGCAAGCGTTAGCCTGACAAAAGGCAGGAGTTGTGCGGTATTTCCACAAAATAATAAATTTTCAGCTCAATCTGACTTTATTGGGTAAACATCAAAAAAAAAAAAAATTCCTCTAAGGGGTATGATTCTCGCTTTGGGGTCCCGGGTTCAGATCCCGGACGAGCCCCCATTTGTTACAGCCGGCTCTTAGGCTGCAACAAAGAGGAGTCCAGACGCAACAATACTTAACAAAACATTTATTTTAACACAACAAAAAATAACATAAATGAAGCATAAACGAAGGAACGAGCCAGGGTCGGCCGGGACACGCAGCACAACACGGACCGTCGAGCTCCACGCAGGAGACGATCCCCCAAACCACGCGCTCCGCACCAACACGCCAGGCACTCTTAAACTCTGCCGCTCTAAGCGGCACCTAAAACACACACACCCCACAAGTGCACGCACAGCCTAAACTGGGAGGTCACAATAATATATTTGTTTTTGATCTTGTGAGCTTTTAAGAAACACGTTTCTTGCGGATGTCAACATATTCATTACAGTAGAAGTATGCCATAAATGTTTGCACTTGAATTTTGTTCAGTAGAAAAATAAACACAAGAACCTGTCCTGCGATTGTTCCGTTGAAATGAATAACAATTATGATTATATGTTTATTTAAAGATGTTGTAGTTATATTCTAAATGTCCACCAGATGTCGCTGTCGCCCAACAGCAGCGTTGCTCTCAGAGGGCGCTCACTTCAGTGCGTTTTCTCACTGCCTAAATTCTCAAATACATGCATGCTTCCAATGTTTCTTAACTAAAACCTTTATTCTTATTATCTAGTTTGTTGGTTTATGATATACATAGCGACTAAGTAAGGATGCGTCTAAGGGGCCGGTGACGTCAGTCAGGTGATTTGCATATCTCTGCGTATAAATCCAGTGATGCTGCGCTTGTCCACCCACTGCTGCATCCGCTGGAGAATACACCACTTCAACTACCACACACTCTGGTGAGCACGACACTCGCTTTTTGCTCTTAGAATGCACGAATATATCGTTTTAGATTGTAGTCAGTCAGAATGCATTTTATAAACTGGTCTCGCTCTTATGCATAATTGGCATCACACAGTATAAATGCATCCAAATCACGATCAGGAAATGTGACAAAATTTAAATATCTTGTGTGCAAAATGTGATTCTTAGGATATATCTGTCAGGGACAATAGATGAGGTTTCTTTGTTCGGGTTAGGGTTTTTATTCAATGCGCCAAAATGGAAACTATTGCATAAATGTGAGTTGTAAATATGCTCAGATCGTTGCAAAAGCTCAAATGATTTTTTTTACAGATAGAAATGTTGATATGAAGTGAAATGCGAGCGAGAATGAGCAGGAAAGGGCGGTGGTTACATTCCAAATACTCAAGACTGTGATGCAACACCAGCGTTTCCTTTGACCACAGTTATTACAGCAAGACTTTTGTTCTTTTTGTTGCATTTATTTATTTGCTCTGGAATGCACATTACATTAGGATACCAAATACTACAGATTAGGGAAACAAAGGATTGGAAAAGCCCATATTGGCTGTGCACTAATATGAATATTAATGTCGAATGCCTCTGTATTAGTCATAAGGCCTTGTGTCAGTGTGCATTTGTCTTTTTGAGTGTGTGTGTGTGTGAGAGAGAGTGTGTGTGTGTGTGTGTGTGTCATCATTAACAGCAAGCCATTTCCTGTCATTTGATTTCAGACCCTCTGCAAACATGTCTGACAAGCCAAATCTCGAGGAGGTGACCAGCTTTGACAAAACCAAGCTGAAGAAGACAGAAACTCAGGAGAAAAATCCTTTGCCGTCTAAAGAAAGTACGATTTCTAACACCTTTTTTGAGGCATGCACGTAAAACGGTGAAACCCGAGGCTAACCAATAACGCTCTGCTCTTGTCTTTCAGCCATCGAACAGGAGAAAAAGGCGGATTCGTCATGAAAGTCGCTCGGCACACTTCTATGCACTGTACATTCCACATTGCCTTCTTTTTCACGTCTTCTCGCTGTTTAACTTTTAATGGAAAAATATGACCTAAGTCGCATTGTGATTGGACAACCCAAAAAAAATGCAGACGTCCGTACAAGCCCTGTTTCTGTGCCCACGTACTCCTCTTTTTGTTAACCGCACCACTGATATTCTCATGAAGTTTGTTGATATGGATGAGGAGGAGGTGGAGCCTGGCGTGAAGCTTCACCAGTTTCACAGCTTTGAAAAGTGGCGAGGGGGCGGGGCTAAGAGTTTGAGTGACACGTAACAGAGACTCGCTCTTGTAACATCTCTTGTGACCTTGGTTGACTTGCTCAAATGCTTTAAAGTCATGCAGTGTGTTTTTTTTTTTTTTTTTGTATGTTGACGTCTTGGAATGCACAATTTTTTTGTTTTGTAATGCAAATAAAAATCTAATATTCAGATGGACATCTTTTTAAATGTTTGTTCTGTGCTTTTCGCTTTCAGCCGTGCCGGCTTGTTGTCGCTTGAAGGAATTCAACTCATTTGT